AGCCAGCATCTCTTCCCAGCCCCCCCGCCCCGATGGCTAGCAGAGAACGGGGGTGTGTTAAGACCCAATACCCTCCTCCTCCCGCTCAAGTGTAGTGTTGCTGCGTGTTGCTCTAAAGTGTGTTTAAAACAAGGGAGAGCATGGTGCTGCTGCCAGAGAGCAGCAGGTGTTAGCACGGCCCCTCCCGAGAACCCTCAATGTCTACATGGAGACATAAGCAATTTGACACAGAGACTGACAAGCTCGGAACAGAAATGACTGTTTTAGTACCATTGGCATGCTTCCTGCTGCATTCACTGTAAGTTATCTTGCCTCACATCACACATATTAAATTAATCATTAGTTTAATGTAAACAAACAACACAATAGTTCACACAGACACATTACACAAAGATAATGTACACAAAGTGTCCCTAATAATAATGTAGAAAATGATTCTGTTCCAATTTATCATGCTTACTTTCTATTTTGTTTCTATTTTGTCCTTGAGCACATGAATGTATGAAATATACAGTGCTCTGTATGTGTATATGTTGTATGTGTGTTGATGCTCAGGTACGTTTACAAGTATGCATAGAGGCATTCTGCAAAGGGGCAGGCTTATAAGATTTCTTCTTGCACCGCTTCCCGTTATTATGAAGTTATATATTCTAACGTCTTAAATAAACTCAAATAAATAAAGAAATATAAATTTCTAGTACTATGAAAGAAAAAGAAAATTACATTTCTGACATTTTAAGGTCAAGTAATAGCCTTCTACTGGAAGATATGTAACCATACTTCATAAATTTTCAATATTTTACCCATTAAGAGTCTTTGTTGAATTGTCAACTTGTTTTAAAAAATTACAAAATTTGACCCTGTTACCTTCTTGCAGCTTAGAAGGCTTATAGTTTGACCTAGCAGCTCAAAAACTGAGAGGAAAGAAATGTAAACTGATAAGCCCCTGTTGTAACTCAGCGATGATCCATGCCATAAAAAGCTCCCAAACACTGCTGAAATATTCTCTCAAGGCCAGTCGTCTACGTCAGACGATAATCCCAATATCAAAGTCTTTTGCAGAATGAAAAAAACAAGATCTCAACTACATCAAGCAGGACACTCTGTCCTACATTTAATTAAACACTAAACAAGGATGAGTCATCCTCGTTAGACTCCCTTGTCAATACCGAGAAGTGGGAAAAACAGTGTTTCTCATCATTAGAAATAACGGTGAGATAGAACTTTTCATGGACTACTGCCCGTAAAAGCAGAATAATCACTGAGCTGCATATTCTCTGAATAATTCAATAATTGGCTCAGAGGTCTATAATCCATGTTACGTCACGCACATTTGAGCACTCATATAAAGAGCAAACTGTACACTCAGCCAGTTCATCTTCACAGTTAATCCAGCCATACAAGTGTCTAATGAGACAAAACATTTCTATAAAATGATTTTTAACTGTACTGCAGTAACATTTCTCTCTAAGCTATTGAGCTCTGCAAGCCAAAAATGTATTTTCTGTGTTATGTCATTTCTTTCTTTGATGGTCAGGACCTCATGTTTGCTATTTCTATAGACTATCCCTTCTGAAAACACCCAAATACATTAATCAGCAGTCCCATTCACTGGCATCTCTAGATCATGTTATCACAGATAGTGTAGTTTTTGAATAGAATGGCTTGATGCAGTGTTGAGCTACAGAGACCTCTTGTGCCCTGTCATTGTGCTGCAAGGCAGCCTTCTAAATGTGTTCTAATGGGGCACATACTATATCCAAAAGCAGCACCTGTTTACTGAATTTTGAATGTGAGAATTTCTCCACTATAAAAAAAGCAATCTGTTCTTATGCACACAACTCAGCAGGTGACTAAGAGCCAACAAACAGTTATTGAGACTGTTATGAGAATGACCATAAATGACCCAGGTTTTAAGATGAGCCTAAAGCTCGATTTTGACTTCTGCATGAAAGCTGCATCCTAACTTACATCGTAATCAGAAACTCCTTTTAGCCGTCCACCACATTTCCATGCCATTGAAGTCGAGGCAGCCTGCATCAACCCGACGTGTAGCGTCGGGTTTTCAGGAGGTGCACATCAGGCTACATGGAAGGTTACAGTGAAGGGTTAACAGGAGTTTCCGCTTCTACTCCCACTGAAGCATAATTCATGCATTAGTCTTCTACAATTAGCTACAATTAGCTAATAATAACTTGTAGCATTGTTAAAAAAAAACATTCTAGTATGTTTCAGATCAGCCTCAGTGTTCTAGAATGTTTCCAAAATGTTCTAGAATGACCATCAATGTTTAGAATGTTGCACACTGTTGTTCTAGAATGACCACCAATATGCACAGCACTTCAGTATTGTTTAAAACATACATTCTAGAACAGGGGTGTCCAACTCCGGGCCTCAAGGGCTGGTGTCCTGCAGGTTTTAGATCTCACCCTGGGTCAACACACCTGAATCACATGATTAGTTCGTTACCAGTCCTTTGGAGAACTTCAAGACATGGTGAGGAGGTAATTTAGCCATTTAAATCAGCTGTGTTGGATCAAGGGCACATCATCAAACCTGCAGGACACCGGCCCTCGAGGCCTGGAGTTCGACACCTGTGTTCTAGAATGTGCCGTGCTCTAGTAAGTTTAGAATCAGTCTCAGAGTTCTAGAATGTTTCACATTAGCATCGGTGTTCTAGAATGGCCATCAATGTTTAAAAATCAACTTTTGCATTCTGGAATGTTGCACACCGTTGTTCTAGAATGGCCACCACTATCGACACCAGGGGTAGGCAACTCCAGGCCTCGAGGGCCGGTGTCCTGGAGGTTTTAGATGTGTCCATCATCCATCACAGCTGATTTAAAGGGCTAAATGACTCCTCAGCATTTCTTGAAGTTCTCCAAAGGACTGGTAATGAACTAATCATGTGATTCAGGTGTGTTGACCCAGGGTGAGATCTAAAACCTGCAGGACACCGGCACTCGAGGCCTGGAGTTGCCTACCCCTGATCTACACACTAGTGTTCTACAACAATCTCAGCATTGTTTAAAACATGAATTCCAGATTGTTTCAAATCAGCCTAAGGGTTCTAAAATTATCTGCAATGTTTCTTTAAACTTCTGTGTTTTATGTCCTCCAAAAACACACAGCAGTGTGGAATGTTGCTGAAAAATCTTTTAATATTGACCAGTGGGAAAATGCTGCATATACAGTACTTTTCAAATACTTTTAGATAAGAGGCTATTAATTAACTCCTCAAAAATGTACAATTTGTTTATGTTGGTCAAAATTCCCCTAGGAAGGGATTTTTCTTAACCGATGAAAGAAACCGCAAGAATCCACTTTAGTTGTGGATTTGTGTTTACTGCATTCTTTCGTTTTAGAAAAGTACCAGACTGTCGACTGGTCACTCCTAAAATAATATCCCTCTCTGATATTCATTTTGTTTTTTTTAAGTCTAATCATAGCCTCCTTCACTTACATCAACATCTCTAAGGACCTCATACTGATAGCAAAAATAAATGGTTCCCAAATACAACAGAGGAAATTAACAAAATCTACTCCAGTCACCGGAATTACTTCTTTTTTAGTCAACTGCCTTTCCCAGTTATACAGGGTGGGCCATTTATAAGGATACACCGTAATAAAATGGGAGTGGTTGGTGATATTAAAGTCCTGTTTGTGGCACATTAGTATATGTGAGGGGGCAAACTCCTCAAGATGGG